CATATGCTGTGTCTGCCGCAGAGGTTCACAAGGTACCTCATTATGTTGTAACATTTTGGAAGTGCTACAGTAAAGAACCCAGCTTAACCCAGGGTTTCCAGAACTTAAATGATAGGTGATCTTGGAATTGAAGTCTTGTATAAACACCCAACCAAGATGTGTGCTGAGATTTGGTTTAGGAGAAGGGAACCTACTATAGACTTTTCAACAGGGGCTTGGTGAGGGAAGCCCCTAAGGTGTAAATGAACAGGATTTGGGAAGAGTGTGTGATATGTGTGTTTATCTAAGAAAAGATGAGTTCATTATGACTGAGAAGCAATAGATCCTGAAGAACAATTGTTTATTTAGTTCCTACTGTTGCACAAAGCCCTCAACTGGGATCTTTAACAGTGTGTATATATTAAATCTTCATAACTGCACAAGGTAGTTACTTAAATATGAGGAAAATGAGGCATTGGGAGACCCCTATAGCTGTGAGCTCATGTGAAGTGTGGTTCTTCACCTCGGGCTTGGTTGTAGGAGCAAATGAAGGTGAGATCTGGGATAGCGGGAAGGTGAACTCTCAGTGGCTATTGGTAAAATCTTCGTTGTATAGAAAGGCCTTAAGCCATGCATTTAATTCAATTTGTAGTGTTTTCATTTCCTGAGAATTTTAAGCTAAGCATTTTCCCATGAGTTTTTGGTAACTGCTATCACAAGTCATGGTGTTACTCTAAGTCACCAGCATGGTTAGGAAAATTGCTAGCACTGTCTTCCTATACATGGATTATCAATTCTGTAGCTATAAGGACCACTGTTTGTTTAAAATTTATGTGAAGTGATCAGGCCAGTTGACTGTTGAGTCATAAGTCATGGAAACAGTAAAACTCTCTGAGACATCATAGATGACCTTGGAACATCTGACCCAAAAACTGCGATTTTATATCCTTTGTGCAGAGTCACAATCCAAGCTGTTTTACCTTTAATTTGACTATTTTCAAAGGAGAATGACCTGTATTGCATTTGAGTCAGTGTTCAGGGGAGTGAAGATGTCCTGACACCCTACAAGCTGAGAACATTTATCTTCAGGGCCTGGGGCCTCCAGCTTGTCCCCTTTCTCCTCACCATCTCATCCAAGATCTCTCTCCTCTTGGTCCTCTTTCCTTTAAAACTCTGTGTTCTCCCACCAGTCTGTGTCCTGTAATGGCTCATCACATTTTGTAGCCCCACTTGCCAGCCAGCTGAGTCTGTCCCTCAGGTGCTGCTCAGCCCATCCTGGCTCAGAACTGGGTCTCCGTGCAGTGTCTTTACAGAGATTCATGTTGAAGGCTGGTGTGAGAAATATGAAGGATAAAGGATATCTCATTCATTCTGAAAAGCTGCTTCAGATTACGTTGCATATTATGTAATTTAGTGTTCCTTATAAAAAAAAAAAGACTAAGTAGAATTTAGGTCCAGGTGGTGAAAAAGTTAAATATATTATTATATGTATATATATATACACATATGAATCCATATGTATATACATATATATGTAGGTATATGTATACACAATATATATATCTCCTCTGTGTATGTGGTGATGAACCGGATTGTTTTCTTTGAAACAAAAAAGTATATCTCCTTTTGGGACTTGAACCAAGCTTGATCCTCAGTTATTACATTTATATTTTAGAAGGTATATTAAATACATATTAAATTGTGTTACCTGCAGTGCTTTTCAAAGTATCAGTTAATGTAATGCCTTTTAACACTAAATTTGCCCTACAAGTTAGCATTTCTAAGCCTCACATTGCATTTTTAATTACTCCTGCTCCATGATTCAGGTCAACATACTCTAAAATTTACACATTAGGGGAAGGATGACTGCTATCAAATATATAGTTTTAAAGATTTACTAATTTATATGAAAGGCAGTGAGAGGGAGGCAGGGAAGAAGACAGAGAGAGGAATTTAGATGTTTCATCTGCTGGTTTACTCTCCAAGAAGCCGCAACAGCAGGGGCTGGACAAGGACGACGCCAGGATCCGGGAACTCCATCCTGGTCTCCCACTTGGGTGGCAGGGACTCAAGTACTCGGACTACTATCTGCTGCTTCCCAGGTGCATTAGCGGGGAGCTGCATTGTAAACAGAGGAGCCAAGACGTAAACTTGTCTCTCTAATATGGGATGCCAGCATCACAAGTAGTGGCTTAACCCACTGTCCCACAACACAGCCCCAAAACCAAATATTTTAAATGACTTTTATCTTATTAATAAAATAATGCCAATTTATTATAGAAATATTTAAATTACAGAGGAACAAAGAAAAACTTCATCTATGATCCCGCCAAATAGAACTTTCCAAATATTTTTAATGATGTGTATATCCTTTTTAAACTCCAAAATAACATCTTACTATGTCACTGGAGGGAAGCATAAGCAATACATAAATAAAATTTATAATACTTGTAATTAATTACAAGATATGCCTAAGTGTGTGGACAATAGGAGCCAAGCAAAATAAGCCAAATAAAATTTATGTTTTTCCTATGGCAGCATTAAGCAGTGGAATAATGCAGAACCACTTTATATGTTTTAATTTTTGTAGGTAATTCATTCACATGATTGTAAAAATAGAAATTAAATAGAAAAAGTAAACCTTGATAAATCTTCCCTACCAATATCTTCTGCTCTGTTCCTTCTCTAGTTCTATGGTAATGATTTTTATTGGTTTCTTGGATTGGAAATAATAATGTATATTCCTTTATAAGAGGTAACATATGATGGACAATCTTCTATACCTTGCATTTTTTTTAAAGAATATTTCTTTTTTTTGTTTTTTTTTTTTTATTTTTTTTATTTTTTGACAGGCAGAGTGGACAGTGAGAGAGAGAGACAGAGAGAAAGGTCTTCGTTTGCCGTTGGTTCACCCTCCAATGGCCGCCGCGGCCGGTGCGCTGCGGCCGGTGCACCACACTGATCCAATGGCAGGAGCCAGGTACTTCTCCTGGTCTCCCAGTGGTGCAGGGCCCAAGGACTTGGGCCATCCTCCACTGCCTTCCCTGGCCACAGCAGAGAGCTGGCCTGGAAGAGGGGCAACTGGGACAGAATCCAGAGCCCCAACCAGGACTAGAACCCGGTGTGCCGGTGCCGCAAGGCAGAGGATTAGCCTAGTGAGCTGTGGCGCCGGCTATACCTTGCTTTCTGTACACTAGCTTGCTCTGGAGACCTTCCCCAGGAAAACAGAGAATGTGGCCATTTTTTTAAATAGCTACACAGTATTCAGTTCAGTAGATGTACTACAGTGTAAATACTTTGTTCATATACACCATCTTTTGCCATTATGAACATTGTCACTGTTGATATTCATATGAATGCTATCTTACAAGTGTAGATGTAACTATAGGAAATTTTCTAGAATTAAAATTTTGGAATTGGGGGCCAGTATCATGGCACAGTGGCTTAAGCCACTGCTGCATGACACCAACATCCCATATTAGCACCAGTTCGAGTCCCAGCTATTCTGCTTCCAATCCAACTCCTGCTAATGTGCCTGGAAAAGTAGTAGAAGATGACCCAAGTGTTTGGCCCCCAAATGGGAGACCTGGATGGAGTTCCAGGCCCCTGGCTTCCAACTGGTCCAGCCCTAACTGTTATGGCCATTTAGAGAGTGAACCAACAGATGGAAAATAGATTCTCTGTCCACTCCTCCTTCTGTCTTTCCCTCTATCTATAACTCTGCCTTTCAAATAAATAAATAAGTCTTTAAAAATTGCGCAGTCAAAATATAAGAACAGTTGTGGTTTTCATAATGTCAAATTCCTTTTTGTAAAGATTATAGCATTTTCCATTTCTATCAGTATGAGTCCCCAAAACTTCAAGTTATTTTTTATTTGAAAAACTTTGTGCAATTTTTAAAAAGCAGGTTTCATTCCAGTAATGCTGGCTTCTTAGCATCTTATATCCTCCGAACTCAAATCAATTGTTTAATACATTAATTTGAAGTCATTAGAATTATTTCTCCATGGCCTAGATATCCACCCTGGAAGATAATTCAGCAGTAATTCAACTCAGCTTTGGGGTATTTTATGACTTTTTCCTCCATTAAATTTCCTTTCTTATTGATGTCTTTATTATAAAGCATTAAATTGAATTCTTAGTTTTTAGCATAAACTGTGTATGAGTGGAAGAAGAAGGCTAAGAACTAGAAATAATCCAATGTAAAAGTAAATTTTCTTCTACTTTATCTCTCAGATTGTGGATGTTATTTTATTCTTTTTGGTATCTCTATTATTTAAAATATTTACCATGTGCTTAGATTACTTGTCTAAAAAATTAGGTTCATAGTTTCTGATAAAAATGGAAGGCCTAACACTAGTACAGTATTTCATTATTTTCATCCAAGAAGTGTTGAGTCCCTAAGGTAAATAATATTACTTTAAGTAGCATTAATTAATCAATTAATGTACATTTTAATGAAATTCATCCTAACATATTAAAAATGATACCTTGCCACATGTCAGTTATAGAATGAAAAAGCCACATGTAAATAATTGAAAGTTTACAGTAGTATTATTCTTAGACCCATGCCCCCCCCCACCTGTGGTCTCACTTTCCATGGTTTCGGTGGTTTCAGAAATAATTCATGTTTTAAATTGTGTGCTGTTCTGAACAGCGTGGTGAAATCTTGACCTGTCCCTCTTTGTCCTGCCCAGTATGTCATCATATATACACACTATATATGCTACCCATCCCATGGCATTTGAGAAAGGAAAAGAGAGGCCACATTTTCATAGCTTGTATCAGAATGCTTTGTTAGAATTGTTCTCTTTTATCTTTAGTTGTTGATTTCTTACTGTCTGTCTAGTTTCTAAATTAAACTGTATCATAGATATGTATGTATAGGAAACAGTATAGCATATACAGCATTCAGTGCTACCTGCACTTCAGGCCTCTGCTGGAGGTCCTGGGATGTATCTGCCAAGGGTAAGGGGCCAGTGTGCAGAGGGCTCTGATGCAGCCTTTCTCTCTCCTTGCAGCATCTTCCTCAAAGAGCTGGAGAAGTACGAGCAGCTGCCTGAGGATGTGGGACACTGCTTCGTTACCTGGGTAACCAACCTGAACTCCTCCTCCATTATCCATGCTTCCAGGGGCACACATGGTACCACTACTCTGGGTCTGGACTGAATATTGGTGTCACTGGTGGTCTCACACAGGGCAAGCAGCTGCAAAGGGGATTACAAGTAAATCTGCGAGAAATGACCCATCCCTCTGGGGTCCAGCCCTTAGATGTTATGTTTAAGCTCCACCTTGCATTCTCTAAGAACTTTCTAAAATTGTTTAGGACAGTGGAACAAGACTACCACCCATGGTAGAAGAACCAAACTGGCTCAGTCCACTAGTTATACTCATTATTCTTTCTGGATGTGGAGTAGTGAATTAGAACTTTTGGAAGCCACCTAACCACTGGTTATATGTTCTTCCTTAACAGGGAACAGACTCCTAGGGTATCCCAATTCTGACCTACAAAATTGGTGTCCACTACCCTCATTGTTGGCACTGTTGTCATGGGTACCAGGTGCTAATCGTGTAAACTGAAGCATTAATCTTCATTAGCATCTCCAGTGCACATTACTGATCTTCAGGGAAGTCCATTCGGGACACTGAGGACAACTGAACATGGAACTGTGTGCCCAGGGACAGGAATTGTACTTTTTAATAATTACCTAATTATAACTTCCTTTCCAAGTGTACTGATTCCCTTTCAAAATGTGCTCACAACTCAGAGTTTGTGCTGTCACCACCTTTATGGGGTAGGCAGGGCTCTGGTTCGGTTTTGTATTTTAAAGATGAGAATATCCCAGATGAGATAGAAGGTTAACTAGTCCACTGACAGGTAATAAACATCACTACAAGTCCTGCAGACTAAGGACTGACTCCCAGACACACATTGTCTACATGAGATCTTGATGATTGCTTCAAACATACTTTCGTTTCTTCAGGAAGTCTCATTCTGGCATTTACTTTGTTCTGTGTTCCACCTCTAAATACATGAGTCAGTGCCCAGCTTATATGAATGCTAACCAATAGTTTATGATCCCTTGCACAGCCAGAGGAAAACAAGATTGACCATTAAGTAATTTTTAAAGATCCTGTTTCATACGATTTGGAGATTTTCTTTATAATCAACGTTAAGTGTGATTTATGGTCATCTCTTAGAATGAGGAATAACCTCCTACGTAGTATATAGCCCCTAAAATTGTTGTCATAAAACCCTGGGTGACTACACAAAATAAACACCTTTTGCCAAGAATTACCCCAGGGTGACTTTCTTAAGTCTCATCATTTTAAAATATGAGTGCTGTACAAGAATGAAGGTAGAGGGAGTTTTTGGTAATGTACTAAAAAGCAATGGTTAAGACCAAGAAGCCTAAAGTCACGATGCCTGGGCTCCACCACCTTCTAACAGTGGAAATTTAAAGTCATTGAACCAGTTTGTGCCATAGTTTTCCCATCTGTGGGACAAGGATAGAGATGGCTTTCACTGCAGAGGGGTCTGTGAGAACCAAGTGAGTTAATCTGTGTGTGTCAGCACGGAGCTCACTGCCAACATAAATGAAACCGTTCAGAAGAGGACGTCATGCCAAATGTCCAAAGACTGAGAAGGGTAGCATTTTGCCAATGAGGAAAGCACTTGGTGACCAAAATATACACATCTTTCCCAGGGGAAAGTGTGTGAGGACCAAACTGGAGGTCCTTCAAAATAAGCAGTAAATTCTCACGCAATCATGAGGTTCTTGGCTTTAAGTAACAGCATGGTTAGGAGTCAGTATCCAGACCCTGCCCAGGGGGATCTCCCTACTTTCTTCTCTCATCATTGCTTCTGGGAAGCTGGCAATGATGGTACAGTTGTCTGACGTGTTCCCACAAACTCCCTCTAATGGAGACACTTGGATAACAAGTGGATCTGCCTCTGAGATCATATGTTATTTTCACCTTTGATTTTTGTTTTTAGAAAAAGTGCTGTGTTTTTTCAAGATGGGCAGCACAATCCTAGATAATGTTAAAAAGGAGAAAATTTCTAAATTCTGCAAAAGAATGCATTATGATGTATCACTGGTTTTTCGATTTATTTCTGGCACAGACTACTATTAGAATGAGCTCATTTTCAGCCAGCTTTATCTACCTACCAAAAGGAAAACAGCATCCTAAAGTCTGGCAGCAGACCATGGGCTAGATACACACAGAACATTTGCCACAGAAAACCCAGGCACCACCTTGAGGGTTTGATTGTATATCAGTTGCCAGGCCCAAGGCAGAGTGGACAGAAGGGAGCAATAGATGCTTATCTATTACTGTCTTTGTTCTTTGTAGGCAGATAAATTTCAGATGTATGTCACCTACTGTAAAAACAAGCCTGATTCCAACCAGCTGATCCTGGAGCACGCAGGCACCTTCTTTGATGTAAGCTGTGGTTTTCCATTCTTGAGCAATTGATGACCAGGTGGAAATGCTTCTTTGCTTTGGATAATGGGTATTTAACTTTGTTTCTCAATTTTCTTTGCTGGTCACTCCAAACCTTTATCTTATAGATAAAAAAAACCTATGGTGTTTTTGCCTTTTGAAGTGTTTTTCTTAATTTTGATGAATATGTATAATTTGCACATTTTTATGGAATATAGTTGAAAAACTGATCCAGTGAGGCAATTAGCATTTCTCTTTCTTTATCTTTAAAGCTTCCAGTGCTTCTCTTCCAGTTGTGTATACAGAATACATTATTTGTTTACCTTTTGTTTTTACCTATTCATTTCAACTGCTGTGATTTGGATAAGGCAAATTTGCTTCCATGCCTCATCATCAAACCTAGTTATCATATATCCCATGACCAGAGGAGGACTACGGTGATGCAGCTGTTGATTAAGATGTTTCTGTTCTTCATACCTCCCTCCCTCAAATTAATGGTTCTCAAAATGTGGTCGGAGGTCCACCCACATCAACCTCACCTGGGAATGAGAAATGTGAATTTGTGGGCCCTATTCCTGATCTACAGAATCAGTGTCTGGAATGGGACCCAATCATCTGAGTTTCAAGATGTCCACTGGACACCCACTGAAGTTTGAAAATCACTTTTCAAATGCAATTGTTTCAACGTTAGAATCACCTGGGAGCTTTGAAAACTGATACCTGATCCCATGCCCCAGATTTTCATGTGGTTGGCCTGGATATGCCTTAAGCATTGGGAATCTTTAAAAACTTCTGGTGAGAGAAACATACAGACAGGCTTTGGCATTTCTGCTACAATGGAAGCCAAGAGAAGAGAGTGGGCTATTTTCTTTATTGGATTTTGGGGGCTTTGTTTTGTTTCCATTAATTTTTTGATCAATCATGTTTGCATATATTTATGAAGTATAGTGTGATATTTGCATTCTTATAGGAGCATTGGCTTCCAAATCTTCCACCAAAACAAACTGATTCTTAATTCTATTTTTCCATGAACTTTCTGAAATGACCTCATATATATTGGGTAATGAGTAAGTGAGCATAATTAGCATATTCATCACCTTTAACTTTTCTCATTTTTTTTGTGGTGATTAATTACTTCAGATAGTTAGAAGAGAGGATGTTGAATGATTCTTTAGTTTTCATTGAGAACATATTCCTTTTGATGAATGGGGGGATACATCTATTTAGAACTGGTCCCCAAAGGGTGTAACTCTTGGCTATAAAGTGAATGGAATCAAATGAGTCATTGCAGGATTTAGGAATGAACAAAAGGGAAAGATGAAATTAGGAAAAAGGGAAAGGTCAGTGACAGATTAGAGCAGTGATGGCTACTCTGATAGTCATAGCAGAAGTGACCAAAGCTTGAAATTCATTAGTTTTCAAAGACTATCAGTTTGCCTTTCTGCCTGACTTTCATACCTTCCATATGTGGGTATCTACTGTAGACAAGATGGTATACTAAGCCCCCTAGAGAATACAGACATTTAAACATGATTCTGGCACTCAAGTTTACAGAATAAACCTCTAAGCATATTTCTAGCCTGACAGGGCTATAACAGAAATGACACTACATGGCTCTTGTTCCTTGGTGACAGGATGGCACCTGACTGGGAGAAGCTCCACTAGGAATAAACATACACAATACTTTTTAATGGAGCATTAATATGGAAATGACTCTAGGTGTTCTGAACTGGAATTTCTGGGGCTAGATTTGCTAAAACAGAAGAACCCTAAGGAAAGTGCTTCTCCAAACTAGCATCAGAATTTATTGGGTATCATATCAGCTGCTCTATACCACTAATTTCTGATTGATAATGTATTTCCCTTCAGGTGTTTCTGTTCGATTATTCAGCAACAGTATCCTGAGAGGCCTTCTCATGTCCTATGCTCTGAGCATGCCTCAGACACTTGTGCTTCCTTATCTGTCCTCACACTGTTCTGTGACTCCTACACACAAACACTCACGGTCTACTCTCCTATCCTTCAAAGGTCAAATGGTGCTTCCTGCACAAATCCTTTCCATGCATTGTACCCTGATAACATTTGTAATGATTTGCCTTTGGCGATTAACAGTGTTGCTTTCTGTTATACACACAGCCAGCCCTCCACTATGAGGCCCTGGTGCTCTGATGGATGCCTGATGCATCTTACACCAAGCACACATCTTAGTGCCAGGCACTAAGCTGTATTTCCTTTAATCATATGTTCTTTATGCCGCTATTTCAAGCCAATTTCTAAACGTTGATAACTCAAATATACCTCAACTCTCTCACCCCATTTCCGATGAAGTGCCTAATGAGTCCCCGGTTTAATTGAGAAGGCTAAGGGAAACCAGAAAACTAGCACAAGTTCATCAAGTCTGGCCTGGAAGTGGGGAGGGAAAGCAGCAAACTTTCCTACTTGTTCCCAAAGCTTTCCAGAAAGGTAATCTTGGTAGTTGCTTATTTCTATTCCATTAAATATACTATAGATATTCTATACGTGGGAACCATCTATTCCAGGCTCTCAATCTATAAAAGAGATAAAAACTTAATAAAGGCAGTCTCTCTTTATCCATTTTTATAAAGAGAACACAAAAAACTGAGATCCTAGATAGGCCCACACATTCGCATGATCCAGAATGTGATCTCGTGTTTTGACATGAAACAATATGGGTGCGGCATCTGCTGCCCTGTTGATTGCTGAGGCTGGGTTGGTCTAGCTCCTGGGCACAGTCCCTTCCTCACCGCTTCGCGTACAGAACAGTGTTCCTAGAGCCAATTTAAGGCAGAGAGAAGAACATCCAAAGTGTGTTACTGCCTGTGATCTCCTAGTCCTGGAACCATGTTTCAATCTCTGCATTCTCTTGGTATTCTCCATGAGATCCAAAGCTCCCAAATAAATTTAAAAGGCTCGTTTGTCCCAAGAGACAAGTTGCCAGCTGTTTTTGCCCATCATCCTGAACAAGTCCTGCTGTAACCACACACCACTAGGGAAGAGGTAAATGAGTGGGGAAAATACTACTCTCTGGGACAGTTGACAGAAAATGGGGTGAATTTTAAATTATTCCCTCTCCTTCACCCTTTTCCATAACCCCATAGCAAGTCTTGTACATTCTAACTTTAAAATATTTCTTGTATTCCTCCTAATGTGTTGCTCTTACTAATTCTAGCTGAGGGCAATTCCCCACATTACATATCTGAGATTTTTAAAATTAGTGACTATGTTCATAGAGAACATAGACACATAGATACATAGAGAACTCAGATACATGTCAGTGTATAATTCAGTGTTTTCTGGTGTGCTCACAAATTGGTTTAACAATCCTTACAGTTAATCTTAGAACCGTTTCATCACATCAGAAAGCAAGCCTGCGTTATTTAGATATCACTTCCCATCCCCCCACCATAAACCTCCAGCCTGAAGCAACATTTATCTACTTTCTGTCTCTACATGTCATAAAAATTGAATCATATAATCATCTTTTTTGACTGATTTCTTTCACTTAGCACTAGGATTTCAAAGTTTATGTTGTTTCATGCACCAGTACCTCTTTCCTTTTTGTGGCTAAATACTATTATGTTGTATGGACATGCCACATTTTGTTTTTAAATTCATGAGCTTGTGTACAATTGGGTTTTCCATATGTAAAAATATATTTTCATTTATCTTGTATATATGCTTAGGAGTAGAACTGCTGAATCACATGGTTATTTTCCATTACACACTTGGCTTTTATAATAACCTCCTAGTTTGCCTCTCCATCTCTATTCCCTCAACTTCCTACCCAGTGTTGCTATTAGGTGCATATTATTCTTTCTGAAACATTGTTTTCCCCGTGTCTTCCTAAAACTCACTGTCAAATCCTAACTCCTTTTTCTCGAACTCAGCCCCATCAATGAATAACTAATCTTGCTTATCTAACTTTTTATTTTGTTTTGTTTTTACTTTTTCTAGACTCTAGGTATACATTCTCTGTACTTTTCAGACATGCTCCTCATTATCATCGAAACATAAAATGGGTATTTCAGCCTGTGTATTTTGTGTTTGATGCTTTCCCTTTAGAGAATGTTCTACCTTCAGCTTTCTACTTCACAATCCCATGCCCCTCCTCTAAGCCCCAGATGAGGCATTGTCTCTGCTAAGCACCCAGACCACTCCCAATCCCAGTAATTCTTAAGTTCTCACTGACTGGGACAAATGCTCTGTCATTCTTTATTGTTCTCTAGTTTCAATGGATTGAGTATTCTTAGCTAGATTCTAAGTCTTTTGAAGGCAGAGACTAATATGTACCATTTTCTGACCCTATATATCCCATAGATTTTGGGAAGCAGATCATTTTTGAGGTAGAATACAGAATGGATTAAAAGGAGAGGCTAGAGGCACAAACATGAGTTGGTGGCCATGGCCTTAGCCTAATCATGAGTGATGAAGGTGGTATCCCTGGAAATGTAAAGATTTATCACCAGGAATAACAGAGGAAGAGCTAAAAATAACTCTATGGCTTCTAGCTCAGGAGACCTAAGGAACAAGGGAGGTGCCATTGATTGCAAGGAAAAGTGTATAAGAAATGAAACAATGACCCAAAGTTGTGATCTGTTAAACCTAAAGGGAAGGGATGATGAAAGAGAGATGTCCTTGTGCTATTGACAGAGACCTAGAGCAGAGAAAGACTTAGAGTTACCAGAACAGAAGTCACTGCTTCATCCTTTGCCTTCCCTCTACTCCTATCTTCCTTTGTCCCTCTTTCTTTTCCCCCATCTTTGGGCTATTTTCTTTCACTCTACTTCTTCACCTCTCCTTTACCCTTCTGCTTTAGCCTTTTCTACTTTTTCTACTTATGTCTTTCCCCATTTATGCTTAATTTCCATTTGTTTCACAAATCTAACTCATTCCTAAACCTTCCCCCTTTTTGCCATGTCTCTTATTCTTTCTCTACATGTGCACTTTGGTCTCTCTTTCTACTCCTATCTCCCTATCCAAGAGCATTTTCTCATATTTGTCCATCTTTTCTCCTCTGTTCTTACCCCTTACCTAATCCCTCCCAGGGCACACACATACACAGGCTCCTCCATGTCTAACTGTGCCTTGTTCTCATCCTTATAGGAGATACAGCAGCGGCATGGTCTGGCCAACTCCATCTCGTCCTACCTAATTAAGCCTGTCCAGAGGATCACCAAGTACCAACTACTCCTAAAGGTATCTCCCTGCCCTATCTCATCCTCTTCTGCACTACTGACCAGGTCAAGGGAGTCCAGTTTTTCACTTAAGGATGGTAAATCTTCCAGCTGAAGACCTATTTCTGCCTAGAACAAAAGCTCAGAGCTGAGCTCACACTGGCTTTGCAGGCTCCAAACTTAATCTCCTATCCTATGGAATTCTAGATGCTTGTTTGGGGTGGAACAAGGTAAAATGGGAGCAAGAATAAGTTGTGACTATTTTCACATCCACCCACCACTGCACCACTTTTAGTGATTGTCACCCTTAGGCACTGACAGGCTGTTAGGTATTTTTTGTTCCTGTTCCCTGAATGGATTCCTCCTGGTGTCCTTTGCTCTAAGTAGAATCCAGGGTCAGAATGTCAAGGGAAATAGCACTTCATGAATAATAGAGGCCATGTTGGCATCTACCAATGCTTTAATCTCTGTTTGTCAAGAGTAGGAGATTTTTGAGGGAAAAATTGTTGGGTTAATATTAAAATGCAGTGATGAGGCAGGCATTTGGTGCAGTGGTTAGGATGCCACTTGGGACACCCTCATTCCATAATGGAGTGCCTTGGTTCAAGTCTCAGCTCTGTTCCCAATTCCAGCTTCCTGCTATTATACAACATTGGAGGCAGCAGGTGATGACTCAAGTAGTTGGCTCCCTTTTACTCATATGGGATTCCCAGATTGGTTCTCAGCTCCTAGCTTTGACCTGGGCCAGCTCTAGCTGTTGTGGGTATTTGGGAAGTGACCAGGGGATGAAGATATCTCTATCTGTCTATCTATCACTGCCTTTCAAATAAAATTAAAATATTGTTTTAAATGGCACTGTTATATCTGTAGGATCCCATATGTTAGGAGTTCTTTTGGAACCAGCCAAGAGATTTGGATTTTCTTCCAAAGTCTTTACAAGTCAAATAACCAAATTATGTAAAACACTAAGTACTTTCAGTTTATCCTTCTCAGATAAAGGTACATTGATACTCTGAAAACAGCAATTTCCCCCAGAAAATCTGGGAAATTGATATAAGAGGCAGTTAGATATTTAATATAAGTTTATATTCATTCATAAAGTGTGTGGGTTTTCTTCCTCAGTTTGAATATTTTGCTGATTGCTCTTCAAATGCAAAGGAAAAAGGAATGGTGAGGACATGTTATAAGTTGTATAATTTCTGAGAAATGATGAAATTCAACTCATATCTGGATATGCTGGTTGAATCTCCATATTCTAGGTTCGTTAAACCTGCAGAACGGTTGGATTCAAATCTTGGACTGTAGTTGTGTAGCCCATTTCCAGCCCATGAGGTCCCCCTGGCTTCTCAGTTGTGGCTCTGTGATGAGAGTTATGGGGAGTAGAAGTGGAGGGGCAGAGCGCCTGTGTGCTCCTCACCCCTCTGTCCTCCATCTGGGCCGGGGCTGGCCCCTACATCCATGTGTCCCTCAGCCTCCTTCCTGCCAGCCTTCTTTGCCTCATCTCCTAGAAGAGCCTTTGTGCTTCTAGTTCCTGCACCAGAAATGACTTGGAGAATCGCACGCCCGCAGCCTTCACTGAGGGCGGTGTGAAAAGTGACCATGTGCAGAACAGCTTGGCTGTTTTGGCAAGACTGCTTTTCTTCTTTGTTTTTTGAAGTTTCTTATATAAAGAGTAAGATGCTCATAAGAGCTTGAGATGCGAGGTGGGGAAGTCTCTCCTGAAAGGTTGGTGCTCTTTCTACTTTCCAACTAAAAAGGTGCCATTTATCCACCAGTGCATCTACTGCCTGGTTACCTACATGACAGTCTCCTTAGCCTTGATTTCTGGGAATAATTATCTGGTCCTTCCCTATCCCACTTGATACTTAACTTGTATAAATTGTTTTTCTTGTGCTGATAGACTTTTTAAATTGATTTTTGTGGTCTTTAATTTATGTATCCCAAAACCCTTGTAGGAATTGGTGGGGTTGTGAATTTTAAAAATCCGATACCAACTCACCCATCTGTACTATCAGTGTATTAAATCAATTAAGATGCAGTCCTAAGAGAAATATAGCTTTCTTCTCTCCCTCTGAATTCCATAAGGCTGAAGTTTCCTAGGATGAACTGTGTGAGGATGGAATAGGCCACAGTGCATTTTGCGTAAGCACATGGAGAGGTGGGCTCTGCAATTCGATGTAGTAAGAGATGCCTGTGCAGGGAACTGAGAGGTGAAAAAAATAATGTAGTGGGAATTTGATTATGGGGAGGTTGTAAAATTATTGGCAAAAACATGAAGATAATTTTAACTTTTTTGAAGTATGCTGATGGCAGAATACCTGCTGAATAAATGAAAAATAGTTTGCTGAGCTTTTACTATAAATAAATGGGGTTTATCTTCTCCTTCAAGTCAATTTTATTCCAAATAAATTGATATTTAATTACCATATCCTCCGGGGCTCATCACTTTAGGTGTTTGTGTGAAAGTCGAAACTACCTGTCAGAGCGGTCGATATTCCTCGTGTAAATCTGCTCAGACTGTCCTCTTGGAGTCTACATTAAATATAGTGCCTTCTCTTTATCATAAACTATACTGAGGCCCCAAGGAGAATTTATTGGCTCTCCTGGTAGATTGGAGACTTACTAAATTGCTTTGGATGATTAGACTCATTGGCGTTTCCTGTTGCAAACCAAAGCATGTTTCTTGTTTCTCTCTTACGCTCTGCCTCAGGAGTTCCTTTGATGGTGTGTTTGAGAACAAGGTTGGAGGTTAAAATTAGGAAAGGGTTAGGGGCATCAGAGAGCTTTAGGTTAGCAGAAATAAGTACAGCATTCTGAACAGTAATGACCTGGAACCAGGAAGACAGCTGAGGACCAATCACTTCTACCTCTCAGTGTGTGTTCCAGGCAGCTCACCTCTTCCTGGACACTCAGAGTTTCCTTGTTCATGTGGGAACATACCCAAGATAGCAAATGGGTTGGGTTTTCATATCAGACTCCCACTAAGCATATATCTTGGTACAAATAATCTCAAGGCAGAAGTGAGACAGGGACAAGTCCAGCACCATCAGTGCAGCTCCAATTGCTGTCTTGAAGCATCAGGATGTATGTTGGCCCAGCTGAGCTTACAATGTCTTTAAATGATGTGTCACATTGTATCACTTTCCCAAATGAGAGCCATTCTGGTCTGAAATGTTCTTAATTTTTACTTGATAGTTTCATAGCTTATGTGACACTTTCCAGAGGGCCATGCCCCTAAAGTCACAGATTCTAGGTTTGTTTACCATAAGAAGCCCTGGACAGTCCAACTATATCCTGATAAAAACATTCCATAGATAAGTACTGTCCTTCTAGTAAGTTTCATTTGTTTATTTTCCAGGAGGTCTGTCATTTATGCGTTTACAAGATTTGATCGGTTGAGCTGCTTTCTTTCCTGGAAGTGCATCCCACCCAACCATCCACCCCGTCCCTTAAAGGAGACAACATAGATTGTAGATACATTGCCTTATCATTTATTTCCCAGTGTCAAAAGTGAGCAAGATCAGTAACTCTCATAGGAAAAAAAAAGTCATCAACTCTCTCGTTTGAGCAAATAGTCTTAGGATTCCTAAGATGGTTGGGAATGATCTTTTCTCTGTCAGCCAGACACTGTATATCTTTTATGGGAATGGTGATGACTAAGTCTCCAATAAGGACATGAAAAAGAGGATATTTTCCCCAGCTCCCCAGGAGGTAAAATAGGGGAAAGTACACTCTGAGAAGTCTCAGTGTGATAGAGGATGTAGGGAGATAGGGTCAGTGTAGTGGGTGGACTGCTGGACTTCCACCCAGTCTGAGACCTAGATTCAAACCCCTGCATGGCTTCAAGCGAATTATATATCCTAAGGAAATCAGTTCATCCGTCTTTCTCATAGTTTCCTCATCTGACCAATGAAGACTAGTCCAGATTTCTATTCCCAGCTTAGGAACTCCTGATCCATATAACCTGAAATCTTTTATAACTCTGCAATGTTATAAACCTATCATGTCTCTAAACTCAGATTGCTCTGAGTACAGTGGAAATCAACATCCCAGGCAGCAAGGGCTTGAAAACAGTCATAAAAATTATGTTAGCAGGTATCATGCAGGGGTTTGTCAGTGCTGGATGTTCTGTGGTACACCCTCCATCACCTCTTAGACTTGATTCCACGATGTTGCACCTCTGTTCATGTGCTCTGCAGGGGTGTTCCCTTCTCCAGGAGCATCCTAGTTGCTGACTTCTCGTTCCAGTCATTGGGGAATTTGTTTGGACTAGTTTGGGCTGAAGAAGCTCAGTGTGGGGAAAAAATGAGACTTGGGGCCAGCACTGCAGTTCACTGGGCTAATCCTCCACCTGCAGCACCGGCACCCCGGGTTCTAGTCCTGGTTGGGGTGCCAGATTCTGTCCCGGTTGCTCCTCTTCCAGAACAGCTCTCTGCTGTGGCCCAGGAAGGCAGTGGAGGATGGCCCAAGTGCTTGGGCCCCGCACCCACATGGGAGACCAGGAGGAAGCACCTGGCTCCTGGCTTTGGATCGGCGCAACACGCCGGCTGTAGTGGCCATTTGGGGGGTGAACCAACGGAAGGAAGATCTTTCTCTCTGTCTCTCTCTCTCTCTCACTGTCTAACTCTGCCTGTCAAAAAGAGAGAGAGAGAGAGAGAGACAGACTGACTTGGATTCCTTGGAGATTACTCTCATTTTCCTAAACTAGTGCAGAGACCAAACTGGTATATAATTTCCTTGATGCTGTAAAGAGCGGGAGAGTTGGGAAGCTGAGTTGTCCCAATTGTGTCTGTACTTTTTCTTCTCTAGGAACTTTTAACTTGCTGTGAAGAAGGGAAAGGGGAGCTCAAAGAAGGCCTGGAGGTGATGCTCAGTGTCCCAAAGAAAGCCAACGATGCCATGCATGTCAGCATGCTGGAAGGTAGCTGCCCTTCTGGGGAAGCCTCCCCATGCCTAAGACCAGGGAGTGGGCTTCATGGGGCAGGGGAGGTCACATGCAGTCCAACAAGGGGCAAGGCTGTAGGAGGAGAAGTGGCCATTTTCATGTGGGTCCTTGGCCTGTGAGAGGGGCTCCATGGAGACCAACTGCAGGGATGATCAAGTATAAATCATTTAAGGTGTGTGGACACCTGGCTGCACATGAGCTAGCCCAGGAGAGACCACCATCCATATGTAAATGTGCCCGAGCCCTGACTCACAGCGGTCCTGTGAGCCTTTGCCCTGCCTTAACATCAGAATGGGCCGGCGCCGCGGCTCACTAGGCTAATCCTCCACCTAGCGGCGCCGGCACACCGGGTTCTAGTCCCGGTCGGGGCGCTGGATTCTGTCCCGGTTGCCCCTCTTCCAGGCCAGCCCTCTGCTGTGGCCAGGGAGTGCAGTGGAGGATGGCCCAGGTACTTGGGCCCTGCACCCCATGGGGAGACCAGGAAAAGCACCTGGCTCCTGGCTCCTGACATCGGATCAGCGCGGTGTGCCAGCCGCAGCGCGCCGGCCGCGGCGGCCATTGGAGGGTGAACCAACGGCAAAGGAAGACCTTTCTCTCTGTCTCTCTCTCTCACTGTCCACTCTGCCTGTCAAAAAATAAATAAATAAATAAAAAATAAAATAAAATAAAAAATAAAAAATTCTAAAAAAAAAAAAAATCAGAATGAGCAGAAATCCTGAGTACACATAAACACACCACCGTCTTCAGCCTTACACTCTTCTTGCTCTTTATCATGGTAAAATGTGAATCACATAAATTTGCCTTGGTAACTGTTTGAGCATGCAGTTCGGTGACATCATGTGCATTCATATGCTTGTGCAGCCAGGTTTTCTTCCTTCCTAAAAGGTTAGAAAAGCCCAGCCAGATATCCCCAACTGGACTTCAGTCAGCTGGAACTCCGGCCTTGGCATCAAGAATCATTCTGGAGCAGGACTCCAAGAAAGTGGTCTCAGTGGTGCCAAGCAGTCGGGCAGAGCAGCTAGATAGGGTGGACTGTATAGATGAGTTAAGGCTAAACATTCTGGGGGCCGGTGCCGTGACTCACTTGGTTGATCCTCCCCCTGCGACACCGGCATCCCATATGGGCGCTGGTTCTAGTCCTGGTTGCTCCTCTTCCAGTCTAGCTCTCTGCTGTGGCCCTGGAGGGCAGTGGAGGATGGCCCAAGTGCTTGGGCCCCTGCACCCACATGGGAGACCAGGCAGAAACTCCTGGCTCCAGGCTTTGGATTGGTGTAGCTCCGGCCATAGCGGCCATTTGGGGAGTGAACCAACAGAAGGAAGACCTTTGTCTCTGTCTCTCACACTCTCTGTAACTCTACCTGTGAAATAAAATTAAAAAAAAAAAAAGACTAAACATTCCATTCGAAGCTGGCAAACAGGTACGAGAGGAAATAGATATAGCCTCTTGCCATTATGTAAGCAAATGTACCCTCCTGCCCTGCCACCCCACAATCCATACCACTTATAAAACTTGGTCTGGTCTGGGTACTTTCTGGACTATCCTTAGCAGGGAATATCCCAGTTCTTAGAGCAGAGATCCTGGTTATCTTCTCCAGGCCAAACCCTAACCTTCAGATATATTCCTGTTATCACAACTTCTGCACCTCTGCTTTTCTAATTTATGTATGCCTGCATCCTATCCTCCACCCCAGTGTCCTTCTCAATAAGGACTTAGCTCCCGCAGCCTCTTTCCGACCTGTGCTGTGGACCATCAGCAGCACCTGGGAGCTTGTCAGAAATGCAGATTCAGGCACTACCTCTCCCCTACTGAAGCAGAATCTCCTACTAGGCAGGAATCTGTGTTCTCACAAGCTCTTCAGGTGACCCTTATGCACACTAAAATCTGAAACTCTCTCTTAAAGTGGTATAAATATGACTGTTGAAGGCTTGTAACTGTACTGTATGGGAACAATCCAAAGAAACGGTCCTTATAAGAAACAGGTGATAACAAGTGGAGCCAAGGCCCTTCCATCAGGCAGTGTTTATCCTCAGCCCCCTCAGAGCTCCAAGTTGCACATGGTGGTAAGCTGTGGAGGAAGAAGGAGCTGTGGGATTTCCCTTGCAGAAGGTCCCAGGCTGACAGCAAGTGTGGGAGAGGGGAGGTTGCAAAGAGACCCTTGCCAGGGGTCCTGCTAATATTAGTTATGTATATAAGACACCCCAGGACGGGGAGGGAGGGACTGGAATACAGTTCTATGGAGATGTCTCTGTAAGAGCCCAGGAGTTTCTAGAGCCTGCAGAAAGGGGAAAACCCTGTGGGCACGGGGGACTAACAATGAAAGAAGACCTTGTCTGAGAGGGGAGTGGACTGTGGCAGCACAGACTCCACTGGGTGGAAATGGGTATTTTTCAGGGTTCGACGAGAACTTGGACGTGCAGGGCGAGTTGATTCTCCAGGATGCCTTTCAAGTGTGGGACCCGAAGTCGCTGATCCGGAAGGGCCGGGAGCGGCACTTGTTCCTCTTTGAGATCTCCTTGGTTTTTAGCAAGGAGATCAAAGACTCTTCAGGACACACGAAATATGTTTACAAGAACAAGCTACTGGTAGGTGGGACAGGTGGGGTGAAACAAGACTCTGCTTGCATAGAACCCTCGGGCAGGAAGGGATCTTGAACCACACAGCTCATCTCTTCCCCTGCCTCCACACCAGAACCGTCCTGGACAAATGCCACTGTTTCCCATTTGGAAAGCTCCCACCCTCACCTTCCACTTCTGCACTTTAGCGTTCACAGTACTTCTTTCTGTTTGCTTTTAGCGCCTCCCTCTTCACCTTCCCTCCCTGGTACCTGCTAATCAGGCACATGCCTGTAGGTCCTCTCATCCTGGGTAGATGAACAAAATATCCAGTCTGTTGAAGTTTGATTGACAGAAGCCCCTCCCTCGGTCCTCTCCTCTTTGTTGCCCTTCCCTTCCCACCCCAGCCCTAAGTTTCCCCACTGCCCTCCCCTTCCCCGCCTCTCACAGGCATTTCCTGTCTACAGACCTCAGAGCTGGGTGTGACCGAGCACGTAGAGGGCGACCCCTGCAAATTTGCCTTGTGGTCTGGGCGCACCCCATCCTCAGACAATAAAACAGTGCTAAAAGTAAGTACCATTCTCTGCTGGGTGCAAGACCACGGTGGGGAGGTAGACGGGGTAGGCATGGCCCAACCCCAACAACAGTGTTATGTTTGTTCACCTGTCAGGAAGCAGAATTACCTGCAAAAATTTCAGTAAGACAAATGGGATTTAGCACTGCCTTCAGTGAGCAGGTTTGTGCTGACTTCCAGTTGGGTCAGTATGGGCCTCTATGGCCACACTAGTGCTGAGCATCATGACCTATGTATAGGCTGATTGGTAAATAAACTGCTTCAAATGCCAGCTTGTCACCCCTCCTAGCGCTCCTCCCCCATACCTCCCCAGGGCCTAGCAGCTCAGTATTAATCCCTCACCCAATTGCAGCCTCCAGGTATACTGTGTCAGCCCCTTTGCAAGTGTCAGGATTGGCCCAATTATGAAATTCATTGAAAATTGCCCCTGTCCAAGTATACAATGAGTTTTGAAGTCACAGCCCTGTTTTAGGAGTTAGAGAAGCAGATCACAAGTATCGAGTGAGAAATAAACTCTCCAAGCCCTTGGTATCCTTGAAAATAGCAGACAAAATCTGTAGGAGGGCAGGGTGGAGGGAATTGGGTTTCTCAGTTTTTCTTCTTGTGGCACTTCAGGCCTCCAACATTGAAACCAAGCAGGAGTGGATCAAGAACATTCGAGAGGTGATTCAAGAGAGGATCATTCACCTGAAAGGAGCTTTAAAAGAGCCAATTCAGCTCCCCAAAACACCAGCCAAACAGAGGAACAATAGTAAGAGGTAACCAGCACTGCCTGCCACCGTGTGCTTCCAGAAGTGGGGGCGGGGTGCCCTTTGCTCCTGCAGGGTGGTGCCCTCTGCAGGTGAGGCTGTCTCCAGGAAAGCTCCCAAGATCCACAAAAGGCAAGCAGTTCTTCCTTAAGCATCTCACCAGTTGCTGTCAATTAAATTCAGCAGGGCTTGCTGGAGCACTTCTCATCTGGTACACACTGCTGGGTGCTACATGAAGATGAAAGGACACACAAGATGAGTAGGTTCCCTCAAGGACTACTGGACAGTTATGTCTCACACATGGACCAGTTAGACAAGGACACGGATAGTAACATCTGTAGGGATAATGCATAGTTTAAGACTTAAAAGAACGGGGACTTTAGATGGCCCTAGAGTGGAGCATCTAGAGAAGGCACTGGAAGGAGCTGAGCTGTGAGTGGAGAGCTCAGACAGTGAAGGGCCTTGTGTTCCATGGCTGTGGGCTGGTAAGTGGCTGTTACTATCACAGCTCCTGCTGCAGCCTCCATCCCCCTGAGGAGGACCGGTTTCTTATGTCCTCTGGGCCCTTCTAAATCCCAGTTTCCTTTGAACAGTGAATGACTTGCTAAGCATGCCTCAGTTGAGTCTCCACGTGCCATCCATGTGTACAATGGCTCCCTTTGAGGGTACTTTAACAGAAAGCATATGCAACTTCACATTGCAGTTTGCAAGTCAATATCATAAAACAGCATTCTGGGTTGTTGGGAAAGAGAGGATAAGGGAAAGAAGTCCTCCCCTCTTCATGAATAGGATAAACCTAGAGAGGTTAGTGGACCCTTTGGCACCAAACAGGATCAGCAGGATGGGGGAGCCACTCCAGGAACTATGAAGTCACACTAGTCCTGGATGAGGTGGTTATCAAAGCAGCCAAAGCAGGATGTGACAAAGCCACCAGACCTTCAAGGCTGCCAGGACAATGTCAACCCCGGTACTGGAGAGATGTTGGATTGTATTGGGGAGGGATCACTTTGACTCCAGTGACCTGTGTCTGGAGTCCAGGTAAGTGGTAGATTTAGGTTAGCACTGGGGATAGACCTTGCTTCAGGAGCCCCCATTTTAATAAGGATGATAGAAGGGACGTATTGGTAAGAACAGGTTGTCCAGGCCCATGATGAGAGAGGACACTCAGGTGAGGTAGCCCCTCTTCCTAGAGTAGGAGAGTTTGAGCATTTCTATAGCATGGGAAGGGCATATCTTGGAAATGTCCCCAGCTCTTCTCTGGTCCTGTGAGAGGAGCGGAGGAAACCTTAGAAACTAGACAGAGAATAGCCAGGCGATCTGTAATCCCATTAGCCTGGCTCTGCACATAGGCACAGAGCTTATGGAGGAGTGGCTTGGCTAGGGACATTCCACCTCCACTCCTGGTTGGGCCCTAAACCTCCCTCCACCCCAGAACTGGCTTCGTCTACAGCAGACCAGAAGGGCCCCAAGTGGGCCAGAACAGCAGGAAGCACAAAGTATAGCCAGCTCTCAACTCTGCAAATGGTGGGGGCTGGAGCCCAGATAATCCAAAGCACCAGATGATCTAAAAGTCTTTTATTTTTGGTTTTGAAATGTGTCGCATAATTTCTTTTACAGCAGATTTTCCTTCCTACGAATGTGTAGCTTAAGCTATTAAAATAGGTTGGCATTTCCCAAACCCACAGTGGTGGTGAGAGATCAGGCAAGTTAGGAATGTTCTGGTTGGGAGAAAATACTTTTGATGATGAGTCAACATGGTGTGTGCACATAGGCACACACGTGGATACCTGCATGCACACACATGTCTACATACATTGACACATATACCTGATTTATAGTTGTTTATGCTCCTGAGGTTGAGTCATTATTTGTGGTATTTTGCCCATGTGGCAAGAGTCTCAGGCATCAAGTTCCCTATTTCCACATACCATTGCTTTTCCACAAGCAGCATCAGGGCTGTGATGGTCACACAAGCACCCGTGAGAAGAGCTGTCATTTCCTGTGCTGATCTAGCCTACCTGTACCCCTCCCCTCCCCTCGTTCTTCCTGACACAGGCTATTCAGCATTTCCCAAGCACCCATCCCTTTTGGCCCTGGCTGTGGGCTTCCTACAGGGTTGGGATATGGTTCTAAAGCTGGACATCTGAAAAAACTTGTGATTGGCACAGCTGCCTGGTCCAGGTGCTGAGAAAGGGGTCCAGAGACCAGCAGTGTGTCAGACACCTGGGAACACAGCTGGCTCAAAAGCTGCTGTGGAATCTGCAGCCTCCAGTCTTTGAGAAAATGTCTCGGCCTTCTGACCTGATAATAAATCATCACAAATAAGCATGAGATCAGTAAGATCCATGAAAACAAGGGCAATAAGCTCCTGCATACCCAGGAGGTGAGGATTCAACATTAGGAACTTCCCAAAGTTAGTCTCTCCTGGAGAAAAATCCTACTGCATTTTCTTGAGTAAAAGGAGCACAAGTCAAAAAAATTGTATCAGTTCTGTTTTCTTTGTAGGCCAGCATTAAACCAACCCCCATCCTAGTTACAGTATGCATAAAATCTCTTTGAATACCCTGAACTCTTGAGATTATTGTAAATGACCCAGTCAGCTGGGCAGAAGCCTAGGTAGACACATCCCCTGGCACTGCGAATTTTAGACCCATTATCAGTTAAAAAAAAATAATAAAGGCACCCTTTGCAGCATGGGCCAGAGGAAGGGCTCATTTTGCAACCATTTGTCAACATGATTATGTGTTTACTGAGTATAAGAGAGAACAGCACTGAGAATGATCCTGCTCCCTTTATCGAGATAATTTTAGACAAATCCCTGCTGGAAAGTGCCGAGGCTCTACTCTGCCAACCCAGCTGGAAATGCTTGTGTGCTCTAAACCCACAGTGGTTCCTCCCACCCCCACCCCTGTTTTTTCTCTCTTCTTCCTGCAGGGATGGAGTGGAGGATATTGACAGCCAGGGGGATGGCAGCAGCCAGCCTGACACCATCTCCATTGCCTCTAGGACGTCTCAGAACACAGTGGACAGTGACAAGGTAGGACAGAGTCCCAGCTTCCTTCCCCCAGATGCTGCTTGTGGTTTACCGACCCCTGGAGAGTTGCCCTTCCCCTGTGGTGCCTAACCACAGCAGCCAGTGGTCTCTTTATGGCAACCACAGAGGAAAGAACAGGTGGAGAGGTTGAGTGTGACCTCTCATGATGGGAGAGTTGAACATAAGTGTCAACAGTGCTAGATTGCTTCTCTTCTGGAGGTGCCCCATGTGGGTGGTTTGGGCTTCTCTGCCTGCTGGGCGCATGGACCTCAGAGAGGCTGAGGTTGGAAGAGTTTCCTGAGACCTTAATGACTGTGATTGGCTCCTACTTACAATGATTTGACGGGGGCCCATCCCTAAGTTAAACCAAGACTGGTGATTCGGGAAACAGCCACAAAGGGGCTGCTTGGTAGAGGCCTCTTATCCAAAGGGACTCTAGTGGACATGATGTCCTCCTCTGGCCAAATTACTGGGGCTCAGTTCCTGAGGGGCAGGAGGAACAGAAAATGCTGTATGAGGCACCATGTAAGGGTGTAGTAATCTTGTAAGAAAGCCTAGTCACCTGCTGTCCTACATCTTGGAGCAAGTAACCAAAAGTTAGGAGATCTTAAGGAAGAAAGATGACCGCAGCAAAGACACCGTGCATTTGCTCAGGCTTGCCGAGGAATACAACCATTGGAACTTGCAGTGGAGGGAGGAAAGTGCCTGTGTCCGAGCCTACACTCATTTACCTACCCCAGGATCCATAGAGTAGCAGGTGATCTCTTGCTGCATATTAGTGATTTCTTAATGAAGTTATGGATTTTCAGACTCTACCTGGCCCTAGTTTATTCAGGTCTACTATTTGGCCTGCTCCTTCAGCCTCAGGGAGCAGAATATTCCCTGCTTCATTTCATTTTCTAGGTTATGGGTATTTATTTTTAAACATTCTACATTCACTAGGCTTTTTCCTAAATTTTTCCTACTAAGGCCTTAGTGTAGGGATTGTACCCTAAAACCTACCCACATTATGGGGAGCAAATTACCCTAATCATTCCTTAGATGAGTGTGCAGGGATATTCAAGATGATTCTATCTGACAGCTGCCTTCAAGATGTTAAGCCATTTTTGGACTGAATATTAGAGTAGGTGGAAAATTGGAGTTTTTTTCCCCCACTTGTAGAAAAAAGCACTCTTTCTGTGCTTTCCTGTCTCCTCTGATCAATTGTCTAAAAATATAATCTGGAATGCCCCATGAATAAAAGTATTGCCTTTTAAGCTGTCTGTGGGTACCCATGTTCACACATAGACTATTAGTTTCATGGTCCAGGAGATGCATCCCTTCCAGCTGCTACTCTGTCATCCCAGCAACCTTACTTAGACATCCCTAAGCTAGAATCACCTGACTTGGGAAGACCTTGGCTCCAGCCATTCCTTGTTTTTCTGGTATGATAACTGAGGTTAGATTGGAAGACCTCTGACAACACCCATTGCATAATTAATGAGTAATCCTGGTTTATTCTACCAGGAAAGAAACTGAGTGACCACTGTAAGAAACTTCTAGCAGTGAGTGGAAGAGTAGGAACTGGATAGAACCTGGATCTCCTGATTCACTGCCATGTCCCTGCCCCCTTCCTCGCTCTGAAAGTCAAAGCAGTGAACTCTGAATGCTAAGGTTAACTCAGCTGTTCAGTCTTTCTGCACATTCCACAAAAAGAAAAAAAATCATCCAGATATTCACATAAAAACTCCCACCACGTGCCATGCTCTGTGCTGGCTCTTCTAGAGAGATGTGGACTATTTGTTGAGTGTGAATCACTATTTGTGCAATTTTCCGTTTCCTGTTTGTCTCTATAGCCAGCCATGGGGCCCCTGAGGGATGGGGCTGTGTCTGTCTGTTTGGCTATGGTACTCTTGGCATGCACCACACACTTCAGTGCTCAGGAGACACAGGAGGGGGAATGACGGAGGGGGCGCTGTGCCTGGTCTCAGGGAACTCCAGGCTTAAGAGTCTGAAAGCAGCTGAATTTATAAACATTGTACTCTTAAGTATGCTAGAGAAGCTTAGGTATTTCCTAACCTGCAAGCCAGAAGGTTTACTGAAGTGGAGAAGCTGGCCTGTTGGAAATATTAACCCCCAAGTATGTGCTCTGACATGAGGAGACCTGGGCTGAGGATTAAGAGATGACATGAAACTCAATGTTCGTATACAAAATCTAGAAAATTCACTTAGAGATAGTCACACTTCCAAAATACCACGGAAAGCCTGTGACTGTGCCCTGTAATTTAGAATGCTCCTACCCTCCCAACACGGAACAACAGGACGCCACGTGTCCTCCATGATCCCTAATTCCTGTCAGCCATCAAATCAGTCACTCGGGTCGCTGAATTCATAGATTTTATCAGCAGTATCAGATTTCTCCTGCCTCTTCTAGAAGACTAGGGACTCCTAGTGTCTGAGGGAGCAGTTGAACAGACTCTGGAGAAGAGAAAGAGCACAAAGTACATGGGCAGATATGGGCATCTTAGGAGACAGGGCAGAGACAGCCACAGAAATCAGCATCATTCCCATCATGGATTTCTAGAAAGTTGTTCCTGTCTTCCTCTTTGGAGTCAGATGATTGACAGTGGCACTGTTGGGCTAGGTGGATAAGGTAGATATAACCATGAAAGGGCCATGAGGAGCTTTGGGGCCACTGGGTACCCTGCCAATCACTTTGTGTGTAGTTTGTATGCCGTGGTGTAGCAGGAGTTTGGTTTGAAACAGGTTCAGATTCCAGCTCTGACTCTTATTCTGCCACATTGGAAGCGTTGCTGAGTCATTAAGATGGTTAAGTAAAATATATTGACATGGTAACTGTTAGACATTCAATAAAGGGTCTATCTAATAAATTCTCTCATAGAGAGAAAACAAAGATTTAGATCCTGTGAATAAAAGTGTACAATTTTTTGCAGAATGTGAAGACCTTTGAAACTTCTTGAGTAGAATTCTTCTGTCTGGTTTCATCATTTACTCACTAATAGTCAGCAGGTTCTGCTCTGTACTATACCTAAAATGATGTAGCCTTGACTCACCAGTCTATAATGATTTTGCTGTCCTTTCCTTTTGATAGCCCTTAGAATCTCCGGCTTAGATATTTGTTGTTAGCATTGGATTATATGTTATTTTATTATTTAATGTGTTATAATCTATTACTCTCAGGCATTCATTTAAAACTCAAAAGTTTCCCATGTTTGGCCAGTGGAAGCCTCCAAGGCTTTAGGTATTTGAAGAAACTTGTTACATCTTTTTTCCTAATTTTCTCTGTTTAGAATTCTCCAGTTGTTCCTTATTGATATATTCTCAGACCCTTATATATCCTGTGCACCCTCCTCTGGATTTCCTGCAGCGTGTAATTTCTATATAAACTGAGCCATTGAGAATGGTGCACAATGTGTGATGTAAGTAGTGTGAACACAGCTCCTCAATCCAGGGCTACTGAGTACAGTGTTCTCCCCAGGGTGGTGCACCATTTCCAGTAGGTGTGTCCAGTGTGGGCTCAGCCAATTCCCATGCCTTCTTTCATGGACTGATCTTAGTTGAGCAGGTGACTAAGTAGCCTGAGCAGAGGACTGCTTTGTGTCTGTTAGATCTTCTCTTGTTCAGTTCCATCCCAGTTTTGGATAGCAGTGTTTTTGGATATGAATTATTTGGTCCAGTTTGTTAGCTACGTCTTTCAGCATTATTGGATGAGCATACTTTCTGTGGCATCATCCAAGTTCTCACGAAAAGAAGATTGAGGACAGAAGACCAATACACAGCCCACCTCTCCTTTCTCACCTATGGCTTGTCACTTGGAAACCTCCTTGTCTGACTCCTTTTTAAGATCTCCACAGAAGGAAACTGTACCCCTTTTGTCACTAGCATGGGAACTAGGACTGTTTCTGTTGTAATCCCACCTGGACGAGAAAGCAGTCTGTTAACTTATCATTCTACATTATACACTGACAAAGCCATTATGGGGGCCTCAGACACTAATAGCTTTACCGTGGTTGCTTTTGTTTAACCTTTAACTGAATCTGCATAATTAGGTTCTGCCTTGCACCTGTCCTAGGCAAAAGTGTTTTTTCCCTAAAGGTCGATGTGTGCCTACTTTTTTGTGTTGTGTAGTAGTTCAAGCTCCTCCCTAATTCTCCCACGAAGATATTTGTACTATTCTGAGTAGAATATACCATGGTAAAGATGTGTTTTCCTGCGTGTGTATTATTAAATGATGGGACTTTACAACCACATTTCAAAGATATTTAGAGTTACCGAATTCTAGTCAAGCAAGGCTGAGTGACGAGGTGGCAGCATAGAAGAATCTTGTTGTTTATCATGATGAAAGTCTGCCAGATAATTGCCAGCTAATGGTATAAAAGCAGCCATCTGCACTCTGATGTCCCAGTACTTGCTAGAAGCATTCAACAAATGCTTATTGAATTGAACATTACAAACCCATCCTAATAGGAATATTCTCCTGCCAAAAATCACTATGAATTTCTGGGCATGCCCAGGTTAGCTGGAGACAAAGAAATTGAAGTGAAATTGGGTTGCAGGTTCTGTTTTCTGCAAAAAATTGTAAGGGAAAGAATGCTGCTAGAACAACCCAGGGCAGGTATGTGATTTGAATGAGAAACTTCAGTAACTAGCTGATATGATCTAAAAAACAAGGTGGGCTGATACTGCTGATGAGCTAAAGGGGGACAGGAAAATGTCTGGAGAAACTTAGAGATTTTGGGACCTAACTCAATGATTTTGAAATTCTGAATTGTCAGATTAATGAGTGGGTCATGACCAAAATTCTGTTTTACTGATTGAGAAGGAAAACTGGATCAGAAACAGTAAGGACCTAACTAAAGGGAAAGTTGAAGAATTTCTACAGTGTCCCTATTGCCCTGATAATGGCCTATAAAATGATGCCTATTACAAGAGGCCCATAGCCAGGCCAGGGGAACCTTCTGAGACCAATCTTCCTGCAAGACCTCACCTGCTTCATCAGAACC